CATGTAAAGATTCCTCTCCTGTAATGGGAATCTATTATAGGCCATGGGAATAAACTTATGAAACCACCTCATTTGGGTAATGGGGGGGTAGTAATGGGAAAAAGAAAGATTCCAATGAAGGAACAAATGATTCCTACTACCTCGAAATGAGTTAGTACGATCTACCTAACACTTGAGGGCCCTAACAGGACATAACAAAAAAGTTCAGATTGGAGCAGTCATAAAGGTGCGGAATGTTTGGCAAACAGATTGAGTATCTTTCCCCTTTCCTAGCTTTCAGAGTCTTGGACAGAAAGAACCTATTAGGGTAAAACAGGACAAATGTGGAATGATGAAGAGTTAGAAGCACAGGAATTGCAAACAACTTCAACCAATGACATCCACAAACCAATAACTATAAATAATACAATTTAAGAGAAAAGTGAAAGAAATAACACAAAACTAAGGACTCAAAAGGAGGATGAGACAAAGCATGTAAAACAACTGTAAAATCCGAATTTGGTAATTGAAAAGGTCATTTGGGTCAAACAATACAAAGGGTTTTGAGTAGAACTGATAGTACTGAGGATTCAAAAAACCTTCTGATAATTGGAATACCTAAAAATATTGGATAAGAATGCAGTATATAAAGCAACTGTAAGTGAAGCAAGACCCCTCTCAAATACCCAAGTCATAAAACAGGATATGGTAGATATTTTAGGATGAAGAAGGTTGAAATTCCTTTTAAAACACCACTGATGATAAGTATTCCATTTCCGTTGATAAATGGCTATGGTTGGCCTATGGAGAGATTTAGTTAAATACACAGAAACTGTAAAAGTTAAACCCTGATGTTGAGGATGAGGTATTAGAGACCAAAACTGAGATAAATCCATTGAAAAACCTTGTGATGTATCATCCATTCTGTTGGAAGAATCTGGTTGGATTGAGACAAGTGATCTGCAATTAAATTGATCACTCCTGAAACACGACAGATACAATAGGAATGAGCCCAGTAGAGAACATCCAAGGTACAAAAACAAGGTATCGAGAATGTGTGCTTCTCTGACTAGAAATCTGAGATACCACCATGGAATTTTCGGAATGTAACATGACAAATTTTTTCCCTTCAAGAGACACAGATCTTGTACCATTGCCTGGTGTATTGCAAGGCGTTTGAGAGGGTAGACTTGATTTCCATCCAAATATACTGAAACTCCTGACCTTGAAGATAAGCTCCCCATCCCTGAAGAGATGTATCTGGGAACAGATGGATCTCGGGACAAGGTGGTGGAATGGTACCCCAATAGTTGTGTTGTTCAAATCCAACCACCATCTGCAATTGACGATGTTGCTCCTGAGTAATGAGACAAGACGATCTAAAGGATCAGAAAACACGATTCTTTAATCGTGCAGTGATCACTGAACGGACCTCGTACAAGTTCATCCCAAAGAAATGAGAGGCTCGAGGGATGCCCACATCCCCAATAGAGAGAGAACCCTCTGTGTAGTTAAGAGAAGGAGACATAAGTAAAAGCTTGAGGGATCTTTCCATGGTTTGAAGCCTGATAGTGGTTGGTTGAACATGACTTACGAGATGGATGATATATTGCATTGGTGACAAAATAGATTTCTCCAGTCTGACACAGAAGCTTGCTTTTGTGTTTTCTGAAAGAAAAATCTGAAAGTGTCCTTCATCTATTTGACAGGAAGATACCAAAAGAATCCACTCCTCTATATGATGATGTAGCTACAGGTCCAAGAAATGTAGATGATGAGAAAAGGCTCAAACAACTCTGCAGAAGACATAAGGTGCTGATGCAAGACCAAAAGGTAGAGCCCTGAACTGCAGAACCTGACTATTGTGCATAAATCTGAGAAACCTCCGGGAAGATTCCGCTATGGGAATATGAAGATAAGCATTGGTAACATCGAACTTGGTCATCCATAGCCCTGGAGCAAAGTGCCATCGTAGGTTGAGAAAGGATTCGATAATAAATCGAAGAGGATCTGAAATTAGTTGAGTAGAGACAGATCGATAATTTGATACCAATCTCCTGTCTTCTTGAGCACCATAATTAAATGGGAATAAAATCCTGGAAGAACTGGATCAATCATCTACTACTGCACTTTTGACTAACAGCTCTCTTATCGCCTGGGAACTAAGCTCCACTCGTTGCGAATATGTTGGAGGTGACAAGGCAACAAGTTGTGCAGATAAAGGTGGAAGTGATGTAAATTGAGTGACCAATTCTGAATTCAGAACATGGAATACTCATAGATCCCTGGTGAAAGAATTTCATATGCCCAGAAAATGATGTAAATGTGGTCCTACTGCTCCCCTGCCCACAGGATAGATACTGACGCTGTTGTCGATGGTTCGTCCGAGCTGAAAATCCTCGAGAATACAGACGGACTCTAGTATGGGAACCAAAGGAGAGGGTCGAGAACACTAAGAGCTGACATTCCTGATTTAGCACCAATGACGATAAAGAAGAATGTAAACAAACTGAATCAAATCTTGATTCTAACATCCCTGGAACTCTGGCAAACAACATGGGATGAGGAAAAAGGAGTATCCTGTAACTCTCTTTAGGGCAGAAGATGGTAAATGAACACTTTTTAAAACAGTCTCTACCCAATAAATCCCAACAACAAACCAGCCAGAAAACCATAACATGGGGGACAAAGCATAGATATCCCATAGAGTAACTGAGCAGCAAATCTCTCAGCATTAACAACAATATCAGGAAAAGGAGAAAAAACCAAGTAGTCACTTGCCATCCTTGTTGTCAAGAAGGAAGGATTAGAGTCAAATGCAATAGGAGAGTCCCCCAAAACCTCACAAACCCGAGAAACTATCTGACTAAGAATGACCTAGTAAAAGAAGGAGCCAGAAAAAAAACGAGTCTATATTCTCCCTAGCTGATTAGAATCATGTGTAAAAGTCACGTCAGAACCCCCCAGAGAGACACTCCCAGTCCAGAGGTGTAAGAGGAGAGGTCTGAATTGCCTCTATAATAGAAACGTTAACTCGAGAATTCTTACCCATTGGTACGTGTTCTTTTTTGTTTTTTAATTAAAGTAATTTATAAATATATGAAGCTATAACTATAGTAATAAAAACCGAGTTCATAGTTGCAATGTAAACTGTGAAAAAACACAACACTCCTGTTTATAGAAACCCGTACCGAATGCTTTGTCAAGAAAAAGTGATAACATTATCTGAATGAGGTGCTTATATACAGTATCTAGATAGAGGGTGCATTGAAGATGGTGGAGAAATTAGCAAATTAGAATTTGCCAAGGCATTCGAATGTGGTATAAAAGACTGAAGCAAGCATTTTTAATGCTTAGATAGGCAAAGAGTAGAAACCCTGGAGATATAGAAATAGCTGTAGTATCAGCAGAGGTATGTTTTGGAATTAATGTGTCTCATGGATCTACAATATATCATAAACCCATTTACTTGAATAATAAAATTTAAAAAATATTAAAATCTGAGTAAGTAAACTCTATAACCTAAAAGAAGTTTCAAAAATGGAAAGTATACATTCTCATACTTCAATGAAGATTTCTGTACAATTGTTTAGCACATCTTAGCTGTGGTATAAAATATAAAATGTATCAAAGGAAAATAAGCGTCTTTGACAAAGGAGTGCTCAAAATGACTGAGATTGTAACTGGGGGACTTTAAAAAGGAAAAATAGATATGATTAAAAAAGATATTTAAATTTTCCACATTTTATTGAACCTGAACTTTAGGATCAAGTCGGTTATCTTTCTAAAAAGTAAATAATTTAAGAAATGGACATGAAGTTAGGGTAGATGTTTTCTAAAGTAGCAGTTACACTTTTACATTAAATGTTTAAATATTGAGAATTATACACATTTTGAGCATTGAAGTAAATTTGTTGAAAAAAAGAAAGTGAAGAAATTACTAGTGAAAAGTATTTTTAATTCTAAACATTTCACTCCAACATTATATTGGTTGCTGTTGTCACGACTTTAAAATAATTTTATTATAACTTACTCTACCCTTTATAACTATATTTTCAAGCAAGTCATTTTACTCTTGATAAAAGTAACACGTGAAGAATATGTAGTGTTGATACTATTAACTTATTCTTCTGAATTATTTAGCAGGGAAACTGTTTAAAAACTAAAAATAAATAAATATGAAGCCCTATCTGTCATCCAATATTTATTTTAATATCGACAACACTGGAATTACTGATAAGCTACCTAAGAGTTTTCTGAACAGGATGATCTTAAATCTCCCTGAATTTATTTTATATAAACACTTTCTAATATACAATATTAAAATAATAAGTACATAAAAATATGTCTACTTAAATTATAATTTTTATCAACTTCACTAAGCCCTATTCACTGTTGTCCAAAAAATGAAATTCTGCTTACATGTAAAGTTTTTTCTGCACCACCTATATCTGCAAATTTAACAGATGACTCTAATAAGGGGATGTCTGAAAATATATAAAAAAATTAAAAGTCATAGAAATATCTATGTAAAAAAATTACAAGTAAATAAATATTTTCAAATTTATATGAGAAACAGTAAAAAAAGTTATATGATTCTACATTTTACATCATTAAATCACAAGCCAGAAGTTTTCTCATCTTCAATCAAAGTAAGTAAACTGAGTGTATAGGGTTAATTTATTTGTGAGTACATTCTTAACTATCAAACAATTTTGTTTTCTGTAAAAAGGTTTCTCTTAATAATATGTTTTATGAATCTCAGTGAATTAACTTTTACGACTATCTAATTCTATATTTTATGTTTTATTGATAAAGCTAATTTATTAGCATATTATTCAGTTCTAAAAGTACTAATAGGTACTTTAAATACTTGTAAATTAAATTAGGGATTCATTTGTTAAACTTCTATATTTCCATGTATAATTTTGGATAACAAATGGTGCTGTTAATCTCACTGTATAAGAATAAAATACTTACAATTTTAGTTACAAAACAAATTTTATTACTTGATTATATTTCTTAACAAGTTTGTGTATTTCAAAATAATAGTTTTACCATCTTGTATTTCAGTTACGTTTTATGCTTGTTCTGACATTAAACACAAATACACATTCATTTACCCAAAATTGTTTATTTTTTGTGAAAAAATTTAATTCCTGAGAGAAACTAGTATATCACCAACTGAAAATTACATTTTACTTATAAAACCTAGTTTCAACAGTGCAAACAATCATACACACCTCACAAAAAAGGTGACTGAAATATAATTGGCCAAACAAAAAAAGCTAGCATAACTAAATCTTAACTGCACATTTATTTACTATATCAATAAAAGAAGCAAACCTTTTAAATGGACTTCTTTGACTCATTAAGTTATAGCATTTGAAAAAATGTCAAATACTAGACTAGAATCTTCAATGTGAAAGTGTTATACATATGAAAATAGCTGTTGTATATTGATGTTATTTAAAAATTTGTAATACAATTACTTATGACTAAGCTTTATGTAAAAATTATCATCTTTCTACTATATAACATTGAAAAAACATAATTTTTACAATGTATTTATCATTTAGGAAGCCAACCAATATCTATAAAAACTTTTTCACCAACTTTTGGACAAAAAAGCAAATTCTGTTAAATGTTTCAGGAATATTCAGATTTTTTTTCTTTATGACTGTACTTCTAAAGATTCTTTTACCTTTTTTCTTGCCATCTTTTCTCTTCTCTGATGGAGTTTTCAAGTTATTTTCAGTCTTCAGTTTAGTTTGATTAGATTGCTTGAAAAAAATATGTGATATTCTTTTGTTAAAATTTAAAAGGGGTTGACAGTGAATTACTATCACTATTAAACAGCAGTAAAAAATGCAATATATTTCTTTTGTACTAGCAGAGACTTGCAAAATACTTGCAGTCAAATTAGTATCTTTATGGCAAAAGTACTTCTTCATATACAGGATTTGTAGAAAATACAAAAGAATTCTAATCACAGACACCGAAATCTATAAGTACACTTGTCTTAGCCCTAACATTAGTTAAGCCTTTATTAAATATGGCCTACATTCAATAGAGAGATGAATTAACACTATAACTTGTGTATGTTTTTTGCTTTAGATTAGTTCAAGCTAAGCTTTACCATACTTAATACTATCAATAAATAAACTTATAATAGTACTGGATGACCTAACATTATACCTTTCTAAAACTTTGACAAGCATTTAATATGTTGTTGTAAAAAATATCTACTACAGTTTATTTACATCTGCCTTTTGTTTACTTACACTGAAATGAAGTGCATGTGCATGCATATTTAGGCAGTAAGGTGCACATGCTTTTTAAAGACAAAAAAAAAAACTTAGTATTATTATAATAGATGGAAGGAATACAGACTGATGAGAAAGAATTATATATAACTGGACTTGGATAAGAGTTTTAGCCTTCTGGTAAGTATTCAACTTTTCTGAAGAGTAAAGGTTAACTTAAAAACTGTGGTAAAAAGTCTAGGAAAAAAACAGTAAGAATATTTTATAGAGAAATGTCATATTTATAAAACATTATTACTATCTTGTTCAATACTCATTTTCAGATATTAAATTTAACTTTTTGCTCTTTACGGTAGAGAAGCATTGATGCTGACCTGCTGGATATGTAAAAGAATCATGAAAATTATTTTCAGACTACAAAAAATGCTTGCTCGATTTCAGAGTTTCTGGCTAATGTAGTAAGCAATAAGTATTGTAGTATTCAGATTTTTGAGGATTATATACATTTGAAAGATAATTTCTATTCATTTTCAAGCAAAATTTATATACTCTTTCTTACACCTTTTTGTTTTGAAATTATTTCAAAATGAAACGATGTACCATTAACTTGGATTTGTTTTTGAAATATCACTAGATGATTTAATTGACAAAAGAAAAAGTTACTTGAAATAATACTGGTAAGAATGGATGTATAAATGATTCACTGGTGATTCAAAAAGACTAAAAGTTTTTCAGTCAGATAGCTAATATTCGTACTTATCTTTTTTTTTATCAGAATTCTGAATGCCATGGAATTTGTAACTGTAATAAACCGAGTGAAAAGTGTGAACTGGAGCCTAAGAAATGCTGGCTAACACACTAAGAGCAATGTTTGCAACTTTACACATCTATATTGATTTCTTTTTGCAAGTTACATTAATTCTATGTAAAAAATACTTAAAATATTTAACTGTGTATGGTGTTCACAAACCTGATGAGGCTTAACAATACAACGATATATATAAAACTAATTCAAAATGAAAAGGGGGCCAATATCTGAAAATTTTGTGCTTGGATTTTTCTTTCTTTTTTATGCCTACCACTGTATTTATCTGATTTGTCCATTATGGATTAGTTTTATCTTTAAGTTTTTTTTGCTTAACTTTTTGACAAACCCTCTTCACATTTTTTAAATTCCATAAACAATTGAATGCAAGAATTTTTTTAATTATTTAATAACTTTTTTGGTTCATATGTTGAAATAATTTTCTTTTGGTAAATTGGTGAACACTTAGTAGTTTTATTTTCTATTAAGATCCAGCAATAAAATTTAAGTCGCCAGCTGCTAACTATAAGGTGGTGAACATGGCATTTCAACAAAAAAGTGCAATAAAAAAGTTCAGAATTACAGCAACATATAAATTATGTAAACTTAAAGAGATTAGATACTTTAGTGTCAATAACATTATTGATGATTACATTACACTTGAAAAAATGCAATACTACTTACAAATTTGTTTAATTTAAAAAAGTTTAACTATACTAAGTATTTTTAACAGATTGTGCAAGTTAATTAAACCATCTACAAGTTAATAATATGTAATATTCAAAACAGCATCTTAAATGATTTTCAGTTATATTAATAAAATGTGAAAAGTAATTCAAGAAACAAATTAAAATTTATTTTGTATAATAGAATATAAAAAGTACTGAAAACATATATATATATCAGTTCTAGAAAATAATGTGTTATCTTAAAATATATTGTGACAAACTTCACGTGTTCATAGCTTTGTATATTCGTTTATCAGATACCTGTACAAACAATTAAAATATTCCTTTTTACTTAATAAAATGAATAATTTCCCCACTGGAATATTGTTTGATCTCTAAGAACACAAAACGTTTTTTATTTCTTACCTCTTTAATGGATGGTACAGCTTTGTTATTCCTACCATCATTGGTATTTCTTATTTGGCTTATGTTTTTGGAAGCAGGTGCAGAAGTTACAATAGTTTCCTTCACAGTTTTGGATACCTCAACAAAACTCTCAGATTTTAAGTTTTCTATTTGTTTTGCACTAGACTTTTTATATAAGTCTCGCATTGAAGTGTTTACCATATTGGTGTCCTGTAAATTAAAAATACTCTTATCAAGGTTACATCTTAAAAGGAAAAACTACACTGAAATCATGATGATTACTTCTTAGTATTAAAAAAAAACTTAAAATAATAGAATGAGCACACGTGAAAAAAGTCATGCAAAATCAGTGTTATGTTTAAAATAAATTCCATTCTATGTTTTAAACTGTAAAACTTCTCTTTCAGTAGTTCAAACCAATATAATTTAATCACATTTCCTTTTCTTCACAGGTTACAAAAATTACTCCTATGTTTATATCATTTACAAACAATAAAAGATATCTAATACAGGAGCTGAATACACTAATTTTTGGTTTAATTAAGTTCCTAATCCAACATATCATTTTCAAAACAATATATATGCCTATTTATCTCTACATATATATTTTCTTCTTCCTTAAGTTTAGTTCAACTTAAAACAGCATAACTTGAATATGATTTTCTGCTACCTACTTATTTCAGTACTTTTCATGATCTCTATCAGTTCATACTATTAAAAAATATTTAATTATTTCACCATAGTTTTATGCCAATAATACTTCAGGTATTTAAAATCTGTTGTTAGGGTCATAATGTTTATTTTGACACAGAATACTTTGCACTTTATCCTCCTGATACTATTAGTAGTGTTATATAGAAAAATGTCTAGCAAAAGAACCTGTATAACATTTTACTGATACTATATTTGGGTTTCCTGCATATATTTTTATTAGTATTAGTAGCACATAAATATGTCCGATATGTATATATGTTTTTTAATTTCATTTCCAAAAACCAGTGAAATAAATCTCGTTTGTGAACATGTCAGAACTCTGAAGACGAGTTGAAACTGAAAGTTGACCAATTTTTTCAGTTCAGAACGTACTGCTGAATTAAAACAACTAATTTTAGCACAGAAAGACAACTGTTCAAAATATTATATGACTTAAAAAAAAGCATCATTTCCTTGAAAATTATAAGCCTAAATTCTAATTTCTAAGTATACAAAGGTACTCTTCCCAATTTTTGACATGAAAATGTTCATAAGCATTATTGCTGTTTAGTTTGTCATTTTGTTAAATTTGATTAGAATAAATATAGCTACTAAAACCTTTTCGTAGAAGTTACATTTATTTTCATGCCACATCTTTTTGTTACCTGCATGCGGCATGAAAAAGGCAAACCATTTGGGGTTGATCAATATTTTCATAATTTTTACTTTTCTTCACTGAAATTGCATTTTGTAGTCAGAAGGAAAAATTCACAATTGATTTATAATTATGTGTATTATATCAAAATTTACCATGTCTGAAATTTACATGTCTGCAAACCATATAATATTATTTTCCGTGCAATAAAAACAAAGGCATGCTTTCTTCTGCTTAATATTAAACTATTTAAACTATAAATAGTATATACAGTCAAATATATATATATATATATATATGTATGTATGTATAAATACACATACTTCTATAGACTCAAGGTGCATTTTAATACATTATAATTTCTACCATCATACAACTGGTTTGTATCATGCTAAGCTCAGGTATAAGAATAGCATCAACAGTTAATATGTTCAAGTACAGAAATATGTTATATCTCCTTTTAATTTATATTAGGTTACAATTGACTCTTGAAATTATGAAAAATCTAAACTGTGCTCCAAAATAATTCTGATTTGACTGGAAAAACAAGAATTCACCAATAACAGAACAATAATGAATTTCTTACCAACTTTTAATCAAAAGTAATTTCAATAAGTGATACATCCTACAGAGCTAACCTACTTGTTGATTTTTGCATATATTTTTTATTTCATGAGTTATGTGAAACCATTAATATAATTTCTTCTAAGAAGACTGTCTGCTAGATTCAGTAAAATTCCTAGTGTTTTATTAATACTACCTACATGTGTAAAACCAAACATTAACACATTTGAAACTTTCCAGTGTTTTCATGACCTTTTAAAACATCAAGCCTTTCTTTTAACAGTGATGGATTACTTCACTATCCAACAGTACGTGCCATTTACTATTAAATACCACCTTAGTCTCTACTCCTCCATCTTATGAAAGTAAACATAACTCTATTGTGAAAAATACAGCAAATAAGTAATATGCAGATTTGGCATGGTTTTTGATTCACAAAAAATAATTTCATCAAAAAATATGCACCACCTTATGTATTCTTCTTCTTCTTAATAATAACAATAACTGTCATCATCATTATCATCTTAAATTCAAAATGAAACAACAAATCAACATACATATACAGTTGATTAATTTATTTCTTATTCATCATTTAGTAATTCCTCAAAAATAAACTTTATTCAATCTACAACTACTGACTGTATACACATACAGGAGTTATTGAGGTTTTAATCAGTATTTTCTATGCCTTCTCCATTCAATTAAATTCACCATGTTGGCTGTTGAATTTAACATAACAAATTCGTTCAGATTATTATAAAATGCTATAAAAATTACTGCTGTAGAATGTCTGCTGTCAATACTAGGAAGAGAAACCGTAAAAGTTACACCACCAAATTCAAATTGAAAGTTTCTCAGTATGCGAAAGAACACAGCAACAGAGATGCTGGTAATGTGTTTGAAGTGGATGAAAAATCTGTGCGAGTAGTGGAAGCAACAGCTAAGGTCAAAAGAAATACCAAAAACTAAATAAGCCATGAAGGGTGGATGTACAAAGTGGCCAACTTTGGAAGAAGATCTGAAGGCTTGGTTATATCACAGATTTATGAAACACTCTATGTGTTGAACAAGAACAACATAAACAAATATTCGGAATAGAAAATTGGTAATTTCAGTCTTAAAAACAACAATACTGTATTACCCGCACATGAGTATACCCCACAGTTAACATTTTTTAAAAATAATTTAACACATAGCCCTTGAGTTATTTGCATGAAAATATGGTACTTCTTTTTTTGAAAGAACAGGGTCAGAAAATTGATTTGTTATTTTTATGTTGTGATTACTGAAACACATGAAATATATTGCAACTTACAGTTAAAGCCCTAATAAATAATTGTCTCTTTTTGTTGCATACAGTATAAAAAAATTAAAATATTCTTAAAAGAATACATAAAGTCAAAAGAACAAATTTTATGTTGGTGTCTTTTTTGTGCATGTATTTTGAATTTGTTTTACTATGCTTTGCTGTTATGTTTGTCTTGTTTTGGAAAAAGCATCACCAGTCTATATCAGAACTCCACACATTTAGAAAGAGCTATCAAAAATAATTCTATCCTTTACATCAAAGTTTCTCACTTATTCGTTTTAGTCTGACATCCTGATGTGAGTAAAGGAAGAAACGTGGAAGTGGGAGGACAGGAAACAGGAATAGATTCAGGAGCTGTGGAGGAGGAAGGTTGTAATAAACAATTAGCAAGGGACAATAGGGAAGTAAGCAACTTGACTACATCAACATGGGATTTCAAAGAATCAGGATGGCCCCAAATATAGGGTCACACAAAAATGAAGTCGTCTTTAAGTCACCTGAAAGCAGCACATCTCTCCCCAACAAGTCCCGACAACAAAGCAGCCAAGTAATTAGGGAAAGGGCTGATGAAGAGAGCCTCACCAAAGTCGATCACAGAAAGGATCTGAGGTCCTATGAAAAATCGTCAGGAGAAGGTCTAAAGGCCTTGTACATAAAGTGCAAAGAGGAGTGGTAACACATGATGTTAGTAAGTGTATGACAAACCCTCAAAATTTGTACCTGTGAAAATGATACAGAAGCCTCAGAATTAAAACCCTATAGGGGTAACAGTAGATCTAATTGTTGGGAATCCAAATAAGGATTTCAAGAGTGAGGAAAGGCTGAGGGTGTTGGTCAGAAACTCGAAGGGGTCAAGGCATACTAAACTCCGAACTTAACTGTGATAAAAACTGCATGAGCCTCAATGTCAGTTGAAGTGGGAAACCCCAAATAGTTACAGTTATGGGTCTCACACCAAACGGAAGGAAATGCATCATAGGAAACAGGAGAAACATTAAAAATGTGATCAACCTGTGTAATTAATTGGATGAAATGACTAGAAGGTCGAACCTCTTCCAAAGGAACAGGACGTGGTCATGTGGCAAAAGAAGAAGCAGGAAAAAGGTTGTCTAAATCATCCTTGTCCTGAACATTCTCATCAGCCTGAAGAAGCACTGGTTGTTTTGAAGAAGTAAACTCCTGACAAACCAAGGCTTGTACTTCCTCAGCAAACAATGTTGATCCCAAGGACTGGGTAACAGAAGCTTGTGTGTCCCCAGTAACATCAGGAGCCATGGTGGTAATTACGGTAAACTGTAAATTCATAGTTCACAAGAATTTATGTAAAAATGGTAATTAAAGTCAGGAACACACCAGAATGCAAGAATGAGCAAAACAAACTTATTTAAAAAAAAAACAAATATGAATAAAGTCCAAAATAACAGAAAAAAAAATTATTGAAAACTGAAAGCAAGTGAGAAACATGTCTAACTTGTATTGTGCCAATCAAGAAAGTGAGGTTCATGTAAATAGTATTGAGGAAGCCAGCTGCTTTAGGAGAGTGTGTTGTGCTCCTATTGGTGAAGGGGTTGTTATATGCTATATGTATGATAAATGAGCAGTTCGACCTTATGGGGTATAATGGCTAGCATGCCAAGCAAGTAAATTTTCTTATCAATGCATTAGAGGGCAATGGAAGATCAAGAAATGCTATTGTGTGAGTGGAAATATGATTGGAATCAAATAATTATCATAATAAAATAAAGAAGTAATAATAAATACAGAACAAAAAAGTTGGACTAGAGTAAAAAGATTTTTATTACTTACTTCATAAGGAGAATAGTTTTCACTATCATCAGAAAAATTACAATTTTCTTCCTGATTTCCACTGCCACCTCTTTCATCATCCATGACTCCTGAAGATTTCTGTAGACTTTTAAGAGCTATGCATCAAAAAATGTGTTTTAGAGTGTGGAATGACACCAGTGTAAACTTAGAATGAGACACTGAAAGTAAAAACAAAACAGTCTACACATATTTTAAGACAAGAAAATGGTTAGTTATATCTACTTAATGCTACTTATTATCACTCTATAAAATTACTCACACATACAGTGAATGTCTGTTAATAACATTAGTAATATTTTTACCTTTATTTGGATTGATCCCTTATTTACTCATTCAATAATTTTACTTTTTAGGAAACACTATCAGAGAAAGAATAAAAGTAATAGTTTTTTTTAAAAGAAGAAGCAACTACTTTATTACTGTGTTGATCGAGAAGTCTTGTTATGATATTATAAAAAACACTTCACATACGTACATTGTATGTTGGTCATTAGAAATATTCTCACCAGATGCCTGATACAGGCACAAGTGAAGGTACAGTAAATTCCTAACATACAGTTCTATATCACATTGCAGTTTCCTAATGAAGTACAATTTTTTTTCTCATTCATAAACTACTCTCCAAATGTTTTTTTTAATTCACAACAAAATATGAGAAAAACAAAACTACAAAGACTAAATTCTGTTTGGTCCATGAGACACTCTTTACATGTTTATCTGACTTGGGTTTATTTCAGCTTTAATTAATCAATATTACTTTAGTTTAACATATAAAAAAATATGAATAATAGATTAACATCAATCCAACAAAAGTACATGTAGTAAAGTTAATAAAATGGTACATTGAAATTACTAATGTTTCAGAAGCTAACATTCTGCTTACCTGAAAATGTATTTTAGATAAATACTTACCTTTCTGCACCACCTCCCCACTTCTTTTGTTCCCCTTGTCAAGAATGAGCCTATGATCATGTGATAGCTCACAGGGATTACTGAGTATGGAGGCTGTTTTGCCTTCCTATTGGTGTAGGGCTACAGCATTACAATAATTATGTCATAGATTGATGCAATACATGTAGACACGTGTAGGGGTAGAACACTGTTTAAGTCTTTGTCATGTGCAGGAAATTTCAAGGCAGTTGTGCATGAGTTAATAGCTCTAAGTGATGCAGGGAGGTAAATATCATTTCTGAATTCCCTGATCCAAAATATGTAGGCAAAATGAATCAGAAGCAGAATGGATACAATGTGAAAAGAAAGAAGAGGGAGATAATGAAAGTAAATGAAAAAAACTAGCTAAAGAATCTGCCAAATTCAAGGATCTCACAAATCCATAAATTAATCAAAATGACCCTGCAGCAGCCCAGATGGAGAGCATGTCCAGAACTAAAGTCATTGAGCAGTTTGACTATAGTCACTTCACTTACTTTTGTGCTTGGCACCTCAATTGTGGTGAAAGGAACAAGTAAAAGTAGTGGAAATAGTGGTAACAGATACTAAATAAGTGAGAGCTGTAGACAGCAAAAACTTCAAAATGAAAATTGATCCTGATTAAAAGAATCAACTTAATGAGAGTAGCTGATAGCCAATACCTGAACTGAATAATAATAACCTCAGAATGAGACAAATCACAAATCATAGCATATAGGAATAAAAAAACATGAAAGACCACAAATAAGATCCCCCTAGATAAACTGCAGTTCCAGAACTTGTGAAGATAAATGTGTTGTAGATGACAACCCTGTTAAATGCACAGAAGTTGGTTCAATATTTAAATAATACATGTCTGAGAAAAAGTGAAGTAATATGAGCAGAAGCCTCCTTATGATTAGGACTAGCAGACAAATCATACTTTTAGCCAATGAAAGTGAATAGACCTGAGCAAAAGATAAGGGGAAAAGAAGGTGGGTGTCCCACAAATTGAATATCCACATGCATTTAAAATTCTACAATTACAACAACATAAAACATTAACAACACAAATACACTGGTCGATGAGAGATAATAACACATTCATAGGATCTCAATGCACATCAGAAGAAGACTGTGGGAAAAAAGCCTCAAAAGTTTGAAAATGTAGAAATCTCTGCATTAATAAAAGTGTTAATGTAAGAGTTAACGGTGAATTTTGAATTCTTGAACTGAGCAAACAAAGGCACAAAGTTTACAGTACAACTATCAACAAGAAAACTCTGGTTTATGTTGGGAAAGCAGGGCTTATGGTAGTTTTTTTCTGGTGCTTGTGACATGTCAGGTTGGAGAACTTTGGGTAAGGTGATGCACCTAATGCAATGCACCAAGGATATTCAGAACTACAAGTCATGAGGTAGTGACAGCTAGAATGACACAACAAGAAAATGCTTAAAATATTTCAGAGGTAAGTTGCCTGATTTTAATCTAGGGTTAACAAAGTTCTAAAAAGTAACAGTTCTTTAAAATTTAACATTTTCCCAATCTAAAAATGTATATCTCATAGATATTCACCTCTTTACACAGTTTAGCTACCTTCATTGTGCATCTGCCTATGAGATTTGCATGCCACTAGCCTTGAACTAACTCCCACCTAAATTTACAAGTTTAACATGAACTGTGATGGTGCATGATAATGTCATCATGTGACAAAAACTCTTTGCCAATAGGAGGGCAACACAACATCCATGCACAGTATCTCCCCCTATGCAATTGCACTCATGATAAATTCAGTCTTTGACAAGGTAAGAAAAAAATGTGTACGGAAGTGGGAAGGACAGGTGGGAGGTGAGTAATTATTGGAAATACATTTTCAGATTAGGAAAATGTTAACTTTAGAGACAATTACTCAGATATGAACACAGAAATTCTAGAATCCCATGCTGAAGAGGAGGAGGGGCTGGTGCAAAATTTTAAAACCTAGATGAATTCCGTTCAGAAAGTGTACAAATGTAAAGCCCATGGAGTATAACACCCGATGACATGGGCTCTATAAGGGCACGCCTGTGGGAGTCCACATCTTGTCTCGACCAGGGTCTTTGCCTGGTAAAAAAGAAGGGAGAGGCAAAAGAGCCTGAAGTGTTGCCAGGATGAGCAGAATGTGATGGTGACCAACTGAACACCTGCACACAAGCACTTGGTGAGTCAATATCTGTAAGTGTGATTATAGCACAATCAGACCATACAATATGTGCTTGTCTTAACTCCACTGAACAGACTCTGGCTGTAGGAGGAGGTTACATTAGTTATGTGATATGCTTGTGAGGGGTGGCCCGTACTACACTGACAGTGTCACCACTGTCCCCCTTCTCACAATACTGCACAAAGCCCAACCAGTGAAGATTCTACATGGTTCACCACCCCAACAGCTAGGAATTGGTAAGTAGCAAGTGTATCTTGTGCTCCATTCGAAGAAAAGGGTGGAATTCACGTTGGGTAGATGCGGAGAAGTGACAAGATTCCCATCAAACCATCACCCAGAAAGATCTTTTACTGAAGGAAGTGCAAAGAATGACCATATGGTAGTAAAGAAAAAGTGTAAAATGGTTGACAAAGCTGCCTGATAATCAATAATGGTGGAGACTGGCACTCCAATTAGCCAAGTGAGAAAGGTGAGCCATAATAAAATGGCCAGGTAGAAGGGAGTGGCAGATGGACTAACGAAAAACAACCCACCACTGCCATTGATTGACAGAAAAAGTTTAAGGTAGACTGGAACAGGATAAGAAGGATGCATGAATGGAGAGTCCAATCCTGAGGGCAATGGACAAATCCCACATGCAAAGATGAAGGGGCAACACCAATGAGTTAAAAATGATAAAAGGTCAGATCAAGAGAGAGAGGGGGATGGTGGTAGTGGAAGAGAGGGCTGGAACATCACTTGACAAAGCAGAGGGAACTATGTATGAGTAGGCCAAAGAAGTGTCACAAATAGGACCAGACAAGGAGTGTCATATATCAATATGAGGACACTAGGGAGGTGATGAAGAGGAGGAGAGACAAGAACAAAAAGGCAAAATGAGATACAGCTGAGAGCAAGAACTGCCAGAGCCGAAGAATGAGAAACAGGAGACCAGAAGAAAGGAATTGTGGTGCAAAGAAAAATGCTGAATGGACTGAGAAGGGGTGTGTAGAACTAAGAGAAAACCTAATGAAAAACCTGAAGATGGATAGATCACACCAAGGGTAAAATTTTGTTTGGCCTGTTACTAGATTCAGAGCCTCCAGTAAATGTAATATAAAAAAATTTACTTGATGGGAAATAATCCAAACAGCAAGTCCAGACCTCAGAAGCAGAGAGTCCTGCAACAGATACCATCCTGAAAAGACTGGAATTGTTGGAGTGGGGAACATGCCCAATGAACAGCGAGAAGTTCGAGTATGTAGATGTAGAGTGAATGTCCCTTGAGAGTTCACATGCATGAAGCCATGTACACAGTTAGAGATGCACCTCACTCCAACTGAGAAGCATGGTCATGTGGGTGGCAAGGGGGTACCAACCATGGTATTGGTACAGTTTGATTTTTTTACTACAAATGTATTGTAATGTTTACTAAAAGCTTGAAAAATGTCATGAAAATACACAAAACAAGTTAAAAGTTGTTAATAGTTATAGTACGGAAACTGATAGTCACTGTAATGTGATCATTGTAATCCACCGAGACAATAGGGAAAGAGTTAAACTTGAACAAAATTCAAGTGTTGGATACTTTTGCAAATCTCACATTATTGAATAATAAATTTAAAACATATCCATTTTAGGCAATGCTGAGGAAAAGAATGAAATTATCATGAGTGTAAGTGCATAGGGGAAGTTACTGTGGCATAGAAGTTGTATCATCCTCCTACTGGTAGAGGTATTTTGTAGCATAATGATGTCATCATGAATTTAGGTGGGAGTTAGCTCAAGGCTAGTAGCATGCAAATATCATAGCCAGATGCCTGAGGAAAATAGCATTTCTGTGTCTGAATTCAATTTGTTTATTGTCATTATCACATTAAAATGATTCTAAATACCTTTTGATACTTCCAATCTGAATGCATTTCTTTTTTTTCTCCTATACTCTGGATACACTTGTTGAAGTTCATCTGCAACAAATTCAACATCAACTGGTGTTTTGTGTGTCTTATTTTCAAGAAACTAGAAAAAAGCAAAATAAGGAAGTTTTAGCCATTTTGAAAGTAACAAATATATCTTATAAACCATAAAGTTTTACTTGTATATTTTTAATATTATCTTAACCATTGTCACTCTTCTAGATTACTAGTTGACACAGGTTATCAGTCACAAAATAACACAACTAATACTGATTAAGACAGGTTGTTAATAAAAGTTACTGTTCACAATAGAAGTCTTCAAATAGATATAAAATAAGCTTTTTTTATGTATGTGAAATGTTATTGCACTGATAAATATTAATGCAACATTTAAAATGTACAATAAAATTTTATTTCTTTCCAAAACTGTGCATTATCATCAAATAACCCTTCATCTCTATTTAACAAAAAAATTATTCATTTTACTGAACAAAATTTAATATTTTAACTTTTTTCAACAAATTCAGCAGAAATTTTAATAGTATATTTATTCTTATTGTTCAAATAAAAAAACCATTGAGGAATATACTTTGCAACATACTGAGATGAGATGCCGAAACTGGATACAATAGGTCAAAAACTATTGTTAAGATTATGAATCTTAGGTAAAGCATAAAGACAGGGTAGAAAAAATTGGAAGGAATCAGACTTTTTTTTGTTGTTGTTCTGGTGTCAAAGTTATACATTGGTCAACATCTGTTTTTTATAAAGTTGTGAAATTTTGTTATAGGATCCCTTCTAAAGGAAACTTACAAACCATCATTTAGCAACTGATCTACACTAGAAATGCAATCCCATTTGTTCAACACCACTGTACTTCCTCCTTTGTCATCTTGTGTAACAACAATATTATTGTTATTCTTTAAGAACTGTAAAGCTATTTTTTCTTCTTTCATCAAATTACTATTCATTTTAATATTTTGATTCAACATTATATCTTGGTATTGATATCTAACAATAGTTTTAATTTTACTATCTTTGTTCAACATTAGATTCAATACTAGTTACCACATCTTTAATAGGTAGAATATATGGAGTTACTGCATTAATTGCATGTTTGTAAGGTTGACATAAGACTTATTAGTAGCTTTTGGGTTGCATACTGGTAGTACTTCAGAAGTTTCCTTTTTCTTATGTGTAAATAAAGATTTAAACTTAATATCCAATTGCTTACTATACTGTTCTTTTCCTTTTCACTTTTGCTCCAACAATAATTCTCATACCAAAGACTGCTGAAATCTTCCTGAAATTCAGGATCTTCTCTAACATATTGGAGATGACTTCTATAGACAGTAGTTTCTAGTTTGGAGATTTCACTTCTTTTCTTTTGTATCTTGATCTTTAATAATTTTAGTTTAGTTTTTTTCCAGGAGATAACTTTTACATCTTTCTTTTTGATTACACATGATATTGATGAATTTTGGTATTACCAAATTGTTTCTGCATGTAACTAAAACTTTTAGTTGCCTTAACTTGCATTGTAACTTACCGTATTTTTCGGTGAATAAGACGCACTTTTTTTACCCAAAATTTGATGTCAAAATCTGCTTGCGTCCTATATACCGAAGGTATGAATAATATATATGTATATATATATACGATATACACAAGCCATGTGTAAATATATTTAAATAGGCATGCACAGCTTAGTTCAATTGAATGTGTTATTTATAACAATAGTTGTTGTTTTTTTCTTTTAAAAACATAACTATTTATAATGCTCCCTAAATAATAAAAAAAAGTGTATAAGACGCAAGCAGATTTTGACATCAAATTTAGGGGTAAAAAAAAGTGCGTCTTATACACCGAAAAATACGGTACATATAAAAACGAAAAAATAAGTTTTTAATTTTTATAATTTTTTTTATTATTAATTTAAATAGTTAAATGCGTAATTGTATAAATACCTGTTTTGGTTATTCAAGTATGCTCTTTCAATTTCCATAATACATTTTTTTTTAAATATAAAACCCAAAGATTGAAATAAAAATGGGAATTTCATCTGTCGAATTCAGGCGTGCTTTGGTGGGCTATTTCTACTAGCAGATTGTCGAATGAACTCAACGACCCCGAAAACTTGTGTATAGACACCGAAGAGGAGGTTCTAGGCCTATTAATAGTTTTAGTTTCCGAGATATGATGTATTATTCTGAAAAAGCTCGCCATTTTGAAAAAATGGCTATCACAAGCAAAATCTGGCATGGCACTATATCTGAATTTACATTCTTTGTACATGTTTACGAAGTTTATTGCAAAGTACACAATTTTTCCCTTATCAGCTAGATTAATCATTGTGTTTGGTTGGATGGAAGTATATCTCGAGACTGTGATTGCGTCTGCGCAAGTATGCGTACTGTATCGTCTGTTTGTATGTTTATTTATATCGCTATTTCAAACTTAAAGAAACTCAGTAGAGTTATCAAACACAGAATATTCCCATCATTTCTTGATCGGATCTGTTGTTTTTTGTGGGTTTACCTATATCATAATTGTCGGAAAAAAGGTTTTACCTGAAAATACCACAGTAACTCATTTGGGCGACTGTCGGTGTCCAAAAGAAAAAGTATGAAGCACTACATAATTTTGAAATTTTTTAATTTCCGATTAAAGGTGTGGTAAACATATAGTATCTTCCCCTTACTATCAAATCTTGTATGTTCAAAATAGATGCTTAAACAACGATGTATGGCAACAAGTGTATACAAAAACGTCATTTTTTTTAACTATAAGCATTTAGACATCACTTAGTTCTCCCTTTAAATATACCATAAACATATGTAAATATTTGTTTTTTATAGATAAAATGTTAAATATATTTCCCGATAATAAAAAAGGTTAAGTGGATATTGACCTAAGATATTGTCTCTTTCATGCAGACGTTCACGAAAAAGAAGTGACAGAAATAAGCAAAATTGCGAAGCATTTAGCTGTTGTTATAGAAATATAACGAATAATGATGGAGAAACACTAAAGAAACTAGGCGTCTGAGCTTAGACGCTCACATCTCAACCTACGCTAAGCACGATTAGAAAGTGCGAAACGTACTAACAAGCATATAATAATGTTGTTTTTACTTACTAATAGATAGGCAAATTGGATTGTTATAGGCATGTTTGATTAAACCAACTATCTCAAATCTAGAACATTCTAATTTCGCCTCTGTAGATGAATAGCTACAGTTACATGTTCAATCATTTACAGAATAGATTTGCTTTCACCAAGGCCCGGCATGGTCAGATGGTTAGGGCACTCGACTCGGAGGGTCGCGGGTTCGAAGCCTCGTCACACCAAACATGCTCGCCCTTTCAGCCGTGGAGGCGTTATAATGTGACGGTCAATCCCACTATTCGTTGATAAAAGAGTTGGCGGTGAGTGGTGATGACTAGTTGCCTTCCCTCTAGTCTTACACTGCTAAATTAGGGACGGCTAGCGCAGATAGCCCTCGTGTAGCTTTGCGCGAAATTCCAAAAAACAAACAAACTTCTTGTGCAGCGCTTATTTCGTTGGTTTATAATACTAAAGCCCTGGTATAGGCCGAAACGTTACTTAAAAAATAATTTTCTTAATGTGTTTCAGAGCAACTGTTCTGCATTTCTATAATTTTTAATTGCTATCAATTACTTAATATACATTTTCAGTTAATATTTGTTTATTCTATATTGATTTTTGTTTGTTTGATTGAACTTGACTATTAATAATAAGCTTACAGTACAGGGCCGCTAAATGTCTAAAAGCTAGAGGGTTGGGCGTAGCCATGTGGTTATCGTGCCCGAACTGCCCCGTTGCCGCAAAAACCTGCTCTGTACTTTTGGGTCGTGGGTGCGCTATAAATCTCGCTAATCAGCCAGATAAGAGTACCCCAGACGTTGGGCGGCGAATGCTGTTGACTAGTTACCTTTCCTTTGGTCTATAGTCCATCAATTCAAAAATTGGGATGGCTATGCGCAGGTAGCCCTTTGTGCGAGTTTGCGCGAACATTTTGAAACAAAGTGCTAAAAAGTATCTGAATATAAAAGGCTAAACACTAGAACACACTTTCTTTATTCACTAAAATTTATCTGACTTTTTTGAATTAAACATTAAATATTAATTTTGAATCATCTACCCGTACAGAGTCAAACACTGTCCGAATTAGTGTAACTTTCTCAAAGAGGACCAACGCTTACGGCCCGGCATGGCCAGGTGGTTAAGGCATGCGACTCCCAATCTGAGGGTCGCGGGTTCGAATCCCTCTCCCACCAAACATGCTCGTCCTTTCAGCCGTGGGGGCGTTATAATGTGACGGTCAATCCCACTATTCGTTGGTAAAAGAGTAGCCCAAGAGTTGGCAGTGAGTGGTGATGACTAACTGCCTTCCCTCTAGTCTTACACTGCTAAATTAGGGACGGCTAGCGCAGATAGCCCTTGTGTAGCTTTGCGCGAAATTCAAAAACAAACCAACGCTTAGCGTGTCACACTATGAATCTTAGGTTCTGTGATACTTGTCACGTTACTGCCAAAAGAACAAAACAAAGCGTTCTCCGCACTTTGGGGCCGTGTGCGCGTTATAAGAATGATGGTCAAATTTCACTACTCTGTCTGACGTGAGTTGGCGGTGGGTGATATTAAATAACTGCCCCCCATCTAGTCTATCACTTCAAAATTAGGGACAGATATCGCGAATACTCCTCAAATAGCTTACGCGAAATTCAATGAACAAATGCGTTCTCCACAGCTTGTATTAGGCCTAGTGCAATTTTTACTTCGAGAATTTGATTATCAAAACAGTACTTCAATGTTGAGTAGCAATCATGATTGAAAAAAGAAAATACACAAAAAATGATATTTTTTAAAGAATATGCAAAATATCAAACGGCACGGTACTGTCTTACAGTGTGATAATGAAAATAAAGGCCAGTACATGCTCTTGATAACAATATTCATTGAGAAATCTGACTTTTTAACTGATTTTAATATAAAAAGGTATTGGAATTAAACTAACACTTGGGAGGATACTTAATGCTTAGTTGACAATTATAAACTGGGTACTTAGTGGTAAAATTA